AGGACCCGGTTTGTTGTTGGGGGCAATATGCTGACTCTGTAAACCGCTTAGAGAGGGCTGAAAGCCCTATGAAGCGGTATATAAGTCTAACTGCTATTGCTAAAGCAGATTTCCACCCCATGGAAATACTAGCATCAATTCATCCCTTGGTAACATTTTGACATGAAGGGATGTTCATGGTAGAAATGTATGAGCAAATATTGGGATTCTAGCACAAGAATTTGAAGGGTGATAGAAGTAGCACCTTCTCACTTTTTTAGTTGGAAAAAAGTTTGCCTTGCTTGGACATTGTTTTCTGAACGGGCTTGTCTCCTTTTTTTTCCGTTTGATGATTGGGCAAGAATCCAAACCTGTAGTTACAAATAAAAGGAAATATACAAATCACTTGGATCGCAGAGACTTCTGCTCTGTAAACTCAGTTCTCCCGTAGAATGAGGAACGCGGCTTTACCATTTTTTAAATTTATCTCTTCCCTCTTCAACCTCTAGAATTCTTCAGCATTATTCTAAAATATGAATGCTCTGTGCAAGGATTAACGGTGATAGGAAAAATGAGTGCACTGATTTTCAGGTTTTTTTCTGCGTGCAATTAAGTATGCTGGTCTTCATCTTGAAAGCCCTTCGTGGCATTGGACCAGGTTAGTTGTGGGCCAGTGGTGGGTTCCAGATCCCATTGCAACGGTACACTGCAACGGGGCCCAGCGTCCACCACGTGAACACGCGCAGCGTATGCATGCATACTTACCGCCCGTGATGCTCTAGCTGCTCGGCAGAGCATCACACAGGTGCCGTAGGCTCCGTGTACGTGTGCGAGAGCCCCGACTGGCTCAAGTAGCGGTAAGGAGAGCGGGCGGGCAGGTGGGCCCTCCGGAGCACCGTACCGGAATGGTACCTGGTGCTCCCAGCAGGCACCAGTACGCCCATATTGGGGCGTACCGGTTGTATCCCACCACTGTTGTGGGCCCACTTCTCCCTGAGAGTATCTGTCCATTCTGCCGTATTGGATAGAATGGGCACGTTCCAAGGTCCTTCTCTGAAATACTGCCAGTGAGTCATAGCAAACACTCCTTTTTCTGTGGCACCCTCTGTCCTTTTGGAGTATTCTTCCCTGAGATCTAGCAAGCCTCCACTTTCTCAGTTTTCTGGAAGTGCTGGAGTAGGATATAGGGTTCACCGACAAAAGGGCGAACGACAAAACCGCGCCCACCTAAACCGCGGTGACAAAACCGCGTGTTCTAAAGCGCTCCGACGAATGAGCGCTGAATCGTGCTGACAACAGCGGGGCGACAGAAGCGTGCTGTAAAACTAAACCTAACCCTAAACCTAACCCTGAACCTAACCCTGAACCTAACCCTTACCTTAAGTTAAATTGGCTTTCTGTCGATGCGCTGTTGTAAAGCGCCCTTCTGTTTCCACGCTGTTGTCGACGCGCTGTTGTCGCCGCGTTGATGGTGTTGCGGTTTTAGCGACGCGGTTTAATCGGGCGCGGTTTTGCCATTCGCCCTTTTGTCGGGTCACGGGATATAGTTGGCACCTGAAGATGGTGTTGTTGGTTGAATAAAAAAAAGAAGGGTTGTGGTATCAGGTTTTTGTTTTCATTGTGTTTGGTTTTGCTGCTAGTTGGCTCATTTAAGATTAATATGCATCTTTTAGATAAATAAGTAAATAATTCTAAGAATATAAAATGGATAAGTGGACACATGAGGACTTAGGTTTTAAATTTTCTATTATGTATTCAAGCATCTGAGAGGGCTAAGTGATACAGTACCTTTGTTTCTGGAAGTAAACATCTGTACAATGTTAAATCATGGGAAATTTTCAGAAGAAATTGCTTATTCTGTTACATTGTTTAGTTCCCATTTATTTCAATGTTTTGTAAAGCTTACGTATTTTGTACTCCAATTACTGATTCCTTTTGGAAATAAATTCTTCTGGCTTCTTCTATGTTGGCATTCCACCTCCTAGTGAAAACATTATTATCTTTGCAGAGTGCTCATTTGGCCATGATTGACACCTTAATGATGGCATACACTGTAGAAATGATCAGCGTGGAAAAAGTTATTGCGTGTGTGCAGCAGTATTCCTCCTTCTTCCAAGCTACAGACCTGCCCTATGACATAGAAGACGCTGTCATGTTCTGGATAAATAAGGTAGGCATTTCATTTAACCATCACGGTGTTTTTAAAGGAAGGAAGGAAACGATGCGCTTACTTGGCTATTATTTGTCCTTTCAGTTACTCACTAAACAAAAATAATGTCAATTAATGTTTGCCTCCAGCTCAGTTTGCCGGATTTCTAAATACTTTTACTCTTGGACGGTAAGCTTTGATCATATTTCTTTGCAATGTTTGAATGCAAACTTATATATTTAAACCAAAACCCAAAGCTGAATAAAGGGAGCAAAGAAAGAGCTTGCACAAATATTATTGCTCATTTTCCTGATTTGGAAAATTATTTATTTCAGCCATTGTGATCAGAGGTGGGTCGCTCCCAGTTTGGCCCGGATCAGGCGAACCGGTAGTAGTGGTGACGGGAGGCTCGTCCCACCCACCCAGATGCTTCTGAGCACGAGCAAACCAGTACTAAAAAAAAAATATGGAAACCCACCACTGATTGTGATACTAACAAAATAAATTTGCTAATAATCGATCGGATATAACAACAAAATACTTACCTAGGGTTGGTTTAGCCCAATTTTGTAGTTTTCCCCAGGAACAAATCATGACCGTTATTGCTATGCTTTGAACACAGAAGTAGCATGTATGTATGGCAGCCATAATGCACAATTTTTCTCAGGTTGCTGAGGTATTGAAGCAACTCAATAATGGTACCAATAAAGGAGAATATTTGTAGCTCAGGGTTGAAATGAGGGGGCCCTTGGTGATCTCTGAGCTTAGTCCTAGCACTGATGATGTTACCTAGTTTGGGTAATGAAATATAGGCAAGAAAACAACAGAGAGCATCAAGAACCTCTTGACTCAATAATGCTTTCTCTGTTAGAATTGGGAAGGCACTGGTGATATCACCTAGCAATCTCATCCTGCAGCTCTGATTGGTGCTATGCTAGCTGTGCTAAATCAGTGTTTCTCAACCTTGGCAACTTGAAGATGTCCGGACTTCAACTCCCAGAACTCCCCAGCCAGCATTCGCTGGCTGGGGAATTCTGGGAGTTGAAGTCCAGACATCTTCAAGTTGCCAAGGTTGAGAAACACTGTGCTAAAATGATACGGTAAAACCTAGTGTATTGTACAAATAAATGAAAATAGCCTAGCTGGCCTGCTTTCATTCTCTTTTCCATCTGTTGTCAACTTGTTAGCAGACCTTAAATAAATCCAACTGTTGTGCAGGTTGTGGTTTTATTACAGTCAAATTGGCACTTGCCAAAGATACGTGTTCCTCGTGTATTTCCCACCAAATCCTTAAGATGACATAAACAGCAGGTATAGAAATAAATGATTAAATAGGCATCTATTGATTTCATGAATCAGTGCGTTAGTGACCCAAGTTCAGTGCATGGGAAAACAGTGCATATACGTTGCATTTTCTGCTAGGGTGCAAAGACAATATTAAAAATGCCTTTTAAAAAACAAGTTTGCATCATATTCTTATGCATGCCAGTGCTGCGTGTGAGGTAATTTACGGTGGTTCTTTTAGCCTTGCGCCCCACAGAGGTGTTGGAGTCCATCTCCCTTAATCAATAATACACCTGATGGAAACGCCAGCTAAGAATGAAAGGCGTATACTAAGCCTTAACCATGACTAGATAGGGAAAAGTCTGTCTTAGAGTGTCTATGCAATTTCAGTGTCACTTCTAAGTATTGCTAAGCTCAAGCACTTTAAAGCTTTAAAGATTAAACCCATTTGGCCTCTTAAGACTCATTTGTACACTGGAAAAAGAACAAGAAAAGGAGAAAGGCTTGTATTGTAAACAATTTTTAAAGCCTTGGCTGCCGCACTCTTTCAAAATTGCCCCTAGCAGAATAATTATACTATTATTTATATCTTAGCAAGAAAGCAGAATTTATTTAAAGCCTAACTTCCTTTGCCCTTTCAGGCCAATGAACATTTAAAGGATATAATGGAACAGGAGCAGAAGCTGAAAGAGCAACAGGGGGCAGAAACGCCAGGCGGTCAAAAGGTATGTGTGCAAAATGTGCTAGTTAAGAAAGATTCAGAATAATTGCAACTAATGAGAGATTTCTCTTTTTAAAATGCGTTCTAAGAGATCATTAGTCAGTTTGACGTAGTAGTTGAGGTGCTGATTCAAGAGTCTGTGAGTTCTAGTCACACCTTAGGCACGAAAGCTGGCCCAACCCACCTTACAGAATTGGTGTGGAGATATTAGGAGAAAGGAGTATTACGTATGTTTGTAGCCTTGAATTATTTAGAAAGGTAATAAAGGCAGGATAAAAAAAAATAAGTAAATGAATAAAAATTTCATTCAACATTTAGATCAGGGGTGTCAAACCCGCAGCCCGGATGCATCATGGGCTGGCCATGCCCACGCCTGCTTTAGCGAAGGGGAAAAAAGTTGCGATATGTCACATGATGCAGCCATGATGCTGCGACAGTGGTGGGATTTAAATAATTTAACAACCGGTTCTCAGCCCTAATGGCCAGCTGGGTCGGCGTGACTCGGTGGTCATGTGACTGGGTGGGCATGGCCAACTCAACATCACTCACATCGATGGGCGCTTCGCCTTAGCTGTTACAATGTAATAAGGATTAACCGGAGAGGCGGTTTCTGTAAGCAGGGCAATAAAGATTAGGCTAGAAACAACACCAGAATGTTTCCTTCCTGCCTTCCTTACAGGATTAGCCCTGTAAAGTGGAAGGGAAAACAAAAGGAGATTTCTTCCAACAATCGGTTCTCTGAACTACTTAGAAAGTTACCAACCGGTTCTCTTGAATAGGTGCAAACTGGCTGAATCCCACCACTGGGATGGGGGTGCAGCAACTCGGGGGGTGAGGGGCGGCTAGTAAGACTTACTTGTACGCAGGAGGAGGAGGCAGCTCAGTTGGGGCGCAGGATAGGCACCAAGTGGCATCTTAGGCAGGGAAGCCATCCAGGAGGTGAGGAGTGACTGAGTGGGGCAGGTGGGCGTGGCCTTTGCACTTAAAA